TTGCCTTTTCCAATGAGGCTCTTTGGGTGCAGAGCAGCTTTTGCTGCTTTATAAATAATGTTGTGTAGATGTGGGCGAGAAGAATTGATTAGGGTTGGCATTTGGGTTTCTGTGAGGCCAGTGTTTGCACCACTGGCATTTATTGATTCTTGGTGTTTGTGAAAGATGAATATTCAAATCCAGTATGAATCTCTGTCTCTTATTTATAGAAATCCATTGTTTCCTACGCTGCCCAGCTGAATCAAATTATTTCATTCAGGGAAATTTATAGACCATCTCATGTCCAACAATGTGTTTGTACATTAACTTTACACTGCACTCACTTTATTCCTTTAGTGCTCAGAGGCTCCCTGTACAGTTCCTGACTATACATTTCACTTGAAATAAGGATTCCTCAACTCAACGTAACATCTTATTTATATTTATGACATGTTTTGTTTAGCTCAGTTTCATCCCTTTTATTCCATTAAAATTATGATACAAAAGAGCAGTGTGGAGTTGTTATCTCATTGATAGTCCCATAGAGAAGAACAAAACTGTCATCCATCAAGACTAGAGTTTTTGAAAGTGAAACACTTTGGAATGCCCTTTCCATTTATTTGATTTCTTCAGATTCCTGAAGCTGGTAAAAAGAGCCTAAATACAGTTGACAGTCTTAACTACATTAGATCTGTTGAATCTGTTGTTGTTAATTGCTATCAAGTCAGCTTCAACTTACAGAAATCTTATGAATAAAAGACCTGAAAGAGCCCTGGGCATCAACAGCTCGGCTCTGGACTTCCAAACTCAGGATTTTACCTTCTTTGTTTGACTCTTATCTACTTGTAATGCGGTCATACTCCCCTCCCCCAGTGCCTTCAGTTTTACTGAGCACATTTTCTAATGAATCATGTCATTGCATGATATGGCCAAAGTACAATACCCCTACTTAAATCATTTTGGCTTCAGTAGAGAGTTCAGGTTTGATTTGCTCTTAGACCCAATTATTTGTATTTTTGGCTGTCCACAGTCTCCATACAACTCTTCTCCAACTATTGATTCTCTTCCACTTAGCTTTCCCAACTTTCCAACTTTTACAGTCATACATAGAAAATTGACTCAGTTGCTGAATAGCAAATCAGCACTTACATAAATCCCACAGATTCAATGGGTCTCCTTTGGTTGGACCAACAGTTGGATTTAGGCCAATGACTGCATTAACAGGTGTGTAGAACCCAGCAGGGGTAGAGGTTGATAGATTACATCGGTAAACCTCATGCCTAATGAAAGCTCCAGCTTCAGTATCTTGTGTCTCCTGATACATGGATCTCACAGAATCAGGTTTGAAAAGAGTCCCATCTGCAACCCCAGATAATTCATTTTGGCCAGAACAGATAGCACTGAGTCAGTGACCCAGCATAAAGTAGATCTTGTGTGCTCAACAGTATTGAAATTCTCGCCATCAGCTGTGTGTTGGCCCCGTCCAGATAGGGATAGAAATAGCCATAATTAATCAAAAAATTGAGAAGCTTCCTGTATGGCTGGGCAAATTTCCCACTGTCATCTTCACTCAGGTTCTCTTTTTCTCAATCTTAAATTGGTTTTTGTGTATGTATATGTTTTTAAATAAATTCACATTAAAGTTCATGCACAATTTTGTATTTCTGCAAATTTTATATGCAGTTTTATACAATAAACATATTTTACAAGCTATTTAATATAATGCATTTATTATTTTTTACTAATAACATATTTGTTGTGTACAGTCTTCCCCAGTACCTTTTTTTTGTATGTTTTGTGTCATCAGAGAAATGCATCACAAAATTCTAAAAAGTACAAATACCAAAGTACAATTGTGTTTCCATTCACATATTGATTCAGCAAAAGTGAATTAGGTCAGTATGTATTAAAATGCAAGTAAGAGGTATTTCATCCTCAGTTGGTTATCTCTCAGCTCTCCATTTAAAAAGAAAAGAATCAGCTCTTCATCAAATTGTGGTGCCCAGGGTTGCCTGAGACTGTGAGGAGCCACAAGAAATTTGCAGATAATGGAAAACATTGAATGAATTATGAAGTCATAGAATTATGGAATTATATATCTGGAAGGTGTCCCAAATAGAATGATGGTGTTGTATAGTTGGAAGGTGTCCCAAAGGTCTTTTGTTGTTAACTGCCCTTGAGTCAATCTTGACCCATGGCAGCCCTATGGATGAGACATCTCCTTGTCCTCCACTGCTCTGTTCAGATCCTGCAAACCCATACTCATGACCTCCTGAATAGAGTCCATCCATCTGGCATGTGACCTTCCTCTCTTCCTACTTCCCTCCACCTTTCCCAGCATTGTTGTCTTTTCCAAAGAGTCTTATCTTCTCATGATGTGACCAAAGTGATCATCTTGGCTTCCGGGGAGGTTTCTGGCTTGATCTGCTCTAGGACCCACTTGTTTGTCCTTTTGGCTGTCCATGGGATCCTCAGCACTCTTCTCCAGCGCCTCATTTTCTCAAATGCATTGATTTTATTCCTATCATCTTTCTTAACTGCAACTGACATCCATCCATGGTAATAGGGAATACAATGGCTTGCATGATTCTAACTTTTGTGCTCAGTTGTATATCTTTGGATTTTAGAATCTTTTCCAGTTCTTTCATAGCTGCTTTCCCCATTCTTAGTCTTCTCCTGAACTCCCTGCTACAATCCCCATTCCGATCAGTGTTTGATCCCATGTATGAGAACTCTTTTACTATTTCTATTTCCTCATTGTCCAGTTTGAATGTATGCAAGTTCTTTGTGGTCATTATTTTTGTTTTCTTTATGTTCAGCATTAAACCTGCCTTTTCACTTTCTTCTTTGATCTTCCTTAGTAGGTGTTCCAGGTCTGGGAGTTTTTCTGCTAGTATTAGGGTGTCATCTGCTTATTTTGGATTGTTGATATTCCTTTCTACTATTTTCACTCCTCCTCCTTCTGTGTCCATACCTGCTCTTCTTATAATATGTTCTGCATACAAGTTGAATAGGTAGGGTAATAGGATGCAACCTTGTCTGACTCCTTTGCGAATGGGGAACCATTCTGTTTCTCCATGTTCTGTTGTGACACATTTACTCCAAAACCCTCACTGATACAGGAAATACACAGCTAAGCCATCCCTGAAAGGAGATAGTCTGACCTCTGTTTAAAAAACTGCAATGAAGGAGTCTTATCTCTTCTGACATTGGCTATTCCACTATCACATAGCTCTTACTTCATCATCTTCTTCATCATCTTCATCATGGAATCCCCTTTCTTGTGCCTTCCTTCTGTGTTTCTGATCCTGCCTTCTCGAACAGCAAAAAAGAAAGTTGCTCCCTCTTCTACTTGACAATCACTGAGATATTTCAAGATGACTGTCACTCATTAATTGTCCTGACTTTATTTCAGGAGGTAGGCCATGTTAAACACTAGAAAATGCCTTAATCATTATTAGAACAATATTACTCCATTTGACTTCCAGAGCTTGGAATTTATTTGTAGTAGAATTCCAGGATTCCTGTGTCAACATTGTCAGCAGCCTTGTTAGATGAAGAATGTAGTTGCACTCCAGAAAAGTTACATTTCCATGCTCTGTTTTGTCCCTCTCCAAGATCCTTTCATCCTTGTTACCCAAGATCCTTTTATGCTGCAATGTCATAGAAGTGATCTAGGATCTTCTGTGCTCAAAGCACATGCTGATCCATACAGATGCCCCCATGAGCTGAAATGCAGAAGGCAAAAAATTTCAGACTGTGCCTGAGAAACATTTATTTATTTTGTACCAAAGGAGTGACAAGGTTTCCCCCAGGTGACAAAAGCATGTTGTTGCTTGGGAGAGAAATTAAGAATCCCAATGTATAAAACCCTACTTTCAATTATAACTCTGGCTAATTTTAGCTACTATATTGCTGGCTTCCCAGCAAAATCTATTGGCATATCTCATTAAACCCCTAATTGCACCCAGAAATGCTTTCAGAGCAACCCATTAAAAAAACCACTTGATAAAAATAGGAAGGAAAATATTAATATTGACTTTTTAAAAGATTGTTTTCCCACTGGGTTCCTAGTGTAGTTTGTACACAGTAAACATCCCTGATATGGACCTTTTTGGATTATCCTGCATCTCTAGAAGCCTAATTTTGTATCTGGAACTTAGTATTAAAATGGGGAAATTAGCATAAATTTCATTATTTGAAGTGGGTAATTATTAAATTAATATCAAATACTGCATTCATTGTTCTGGGGATGAAATAGTGCATCTTTCCTCCTCCTCTCATTGCACTGAAAAGTCAGGCAGGTGAGAGCATGCTGCATATTGAAGGTTCTCTGGGTATAGAGCCAGAGGGGACCACAGTTTAGCTTACCAGAAGTTGGTACACTGCAGCTCCCATAAGTCTTAGCCAGTGTAGCCAATGTTAAGGAAGGCAGGGAGTGTCAGCTCAACAACATCTGCCACGCCACATTAGGGAGAATTGAGATAATAGTTATTTGAAAGTAAGTTCAGGGATATGCAAGCATTGAAGGATTTTCTGGCCGATTACTAGAACTATGAACACGAGCCATCAATGTGGTGTGGCAGCTAAGAAAGCCAATGCAATTCTAGGTTGCATCAAAAGGAATATAGTGTCTAAATTAAATGTGTAATCATACCACTCTATTTTGGTTTGTCAGACATCACCTGTAATATTGTGTTCAGTTGTGGGCACCACAGTTCAAGATGTATATTGACAAACTGGAGTATGTCTAGAGGAAGGGGACCAAAATGGTGAAGGGTCTGGAAAGCATGCCCTATGAGGAGCACCTTAGGAAGCTTGATATGTTTATCTTGGGGAAGATAAGTTGAAGAGGTGATGTGTGTGTCTTGTGTGTCTTTAAGCTATTTCCGACTTATGGCGACCCTAGGGTGAACCTATCTTGGGTTTTTCTTGGCAAGGTTTGTTTAGAAGAGATTTGCCATTGTCTTCCCCAGAGGCCGAGAGAGTGTGACTTGCCTGAGTTCACCCAGTGGGTTTCATGGCCAAACTGGTAATTGAACCCTGGTCTCTAGAATCTTAGTCCAGCACTGAAGCCACTGTGCCACATTATAGACATGTTTAAATATTTGAAAGGATGTCACATTGAGGAGGAGCAAGCTTGTTTTCTGTTGCTCCAGAGACTAGGACATGGAGCAGTAGATTCAAACTGCATGAAAAGAGATTTCACTGAAACATTAGGAAGAAGTTCTTGACTGTGTTTGACAGTGCAGCATACTGCCTCAGAGATCGGAGGTCCTCCTTCTTTGGAGGTTTTTAAACAGAAGCTGGATGGCCATCTATCCCAGGGAGAGCTTGGATGGTGTCTCCCTGCATGG